AAATATAAAGTTGAGTGCATTCTGGTAGGGGTACAGGCATTTGAAAACACTCTGTTTCTGAAACAACCCATGCACGGGGGATATTCATCTTGCGCGGTTCCAAAACTCCACAACAATTCCCAGAACACTAGGAAAGGCACAGCTCTGGGTCCACAACATATTGCTATTAGACAAAGCAGCATGGTTTATCTCCTCCGCACCTCCGCTAGAGCTAACCTGGAAAAAGGGAAAGCAAGTCCAGCTGCCCCTCTTGGACAGGCACAGCCTCTGCATCTCACCAGGCTGCCACTTACACTTACAAAGTTGTCCCTGAATCAAGGAGTGCAAGAGCAAACAGCGGACAAATTGAAAAGACGTGGGAGGAAGATAGGGCCCAGGGGAAGACCTGGCTTTACTATTTGAGTTGAAAGTGTGAAGCCACTTTGGGCAATGTGAGCAGGGAGTGGATTTCCAAAGTACCTAAATGATACATTGGAAGGAATTTTATTAAAAAAGAATAGTAGGAAAAAGAAAAACATGACTCCTCGGTGCCACCTGACAAACTACCCATAGTGCTACAAAAATCCCAGAAGGCCAAATGTGCAGAAATCAAAAGCAAATGCCTCTAACACAGTTATCGCGATGGAAAGCCCTTGACGAGACCTCAGGGTAGAAATCCAGGCAAAGCACATTGCCTGCATTGCCTCTGGGGTGAATGACAGGGGACACAGTGTGGCAGACAGGAATCATCTGCAGTCCTGGAGAAGGTCTCAAGGCATTTCTCCTCCGCAGCCTTGCCCAGACACACCTGCCCAAGGCAGTCACACCCCAGGGACCCGTGAGTTTGTTCACCACAGCAGGTGTCGGTGCTGGTTGGGGATTCCTTCTGCCTGGGTCACTTTCCACCCTGCCCTGCCCAACAGAGGTGGAGAGGGAAGGGGAAGGAGAAGGGAAGGGAAGGAGGCCTTGGAAGATGAAGGCGGCGGCTTGGGAAAATGTGGGCTTAAGTTGGAAGGAAGAGCTGAGAGAGCTGTGCCTGTTCAGCCCAGAGAAGAGAAGGCTCAGGGGTGTTGCCCAGAGAGCTTGTGGAGTCTGCACCCATGGAGCTACTCAAAAGCCAATGGGACCCATGTCTGGGCAGACCCTGACACGTGGAAAGAGGTCCTCTCCCCAAGCATGGAAAGGGGGATTTGGGTTGGAGGGGAGAGGCAAGGGGTGAAGGGAGAGCTGTCGCAGGGCAGGGAGGAGGATACACAGAGGAGAGGAGAGGAGAGGAGGGTGCTCAGCCTCGCAGCGGCTCCC